TAGAAATAATTATAACTGTAGGGATAAGAGATAATTGGGCAACCAATAGCAAAATATTTAGTAAAGTTGACATGTGTCACAGATAAAAAGCGAAAGATTCTTGAAAAATACATGGCCTAAAGTTATTGTACGCTATTACAAAATTCAAATCACATCCTCATAGTATATCAGAGTCGAGATGGAATATTTTACATATCTGAGATCCGATCCACTATCGCCCATATTTCCAGCATTACAGCTTGCTATAAACACATTATAACTATTATCAGGTAGAATAGGACGCCAAAAGGTCAACTTACTTTCACAATACAGATACTTCGATTGCACGGCGACGTAGACGTAAACAGTAGTGACGTCACTAAGAAGTCATCTGCGCATGCGAGAACGTTGAGTTCTCGTCTGGAATTAAGACGCAATTCGATCCAAATCTACGTTGTGGAGAGACCGTAGGACGGCCACGGATGAATGAATCCGTTCTAGCGTTATGTCGCCGCGCAATAAATAGTAAAAGAAAAATACATCTTAGGGTTGAAAAAATTGCAACAGAATTTCTGTTTGTACAGTGCATTTTCTGAAGATCCCTGTATGAACATATTAAAAGTCTAGAAAAATCTACATAGGGGAAGTGGGGTTTATTTTCACAATGGCCGCCAAAATGGCTAATTTTAACTAAAAATTGGAAAAAACTTGATCTTTTCAACATATTTCAGCATATTTTTTTTCTCTAAAATAAATTTACAAATCCTAACGTTGTTCTGATGCATACAGATACACTTATTTGATGTGGGTATCATTAATTTCAAGATGGCTGCCACAAATACGACGACATATTTAGTATATAGTATTTAGTATATAGTGGTGTATGCATAATACACCAAGCAGCTATAGTGCTATATGGATGTTTTGGACAAAAACACCAACTTTTTACATGCTCCCTATGGTCATAGAATTCAATTTTTGATAGAAACCATTTTATCGGAGGTCATTATGGCAGCCATCTTAGATTTCAAAATGGCCACCTTATAAAACCTTATTATCCACGGTATTATTTCCTCTTCTAACTTGGAATTATAATTATAGTGTCTAAATGGCCAAGGAATACTAGCATGCCATTTTTGACCTGGTAAGATTCTTCATTTAAGGTAATTATAACTTAAGGTCATTAACTAAATAATCTGACCAGATTCTTCATTTAAGGTAATTAATTTAAGGAAATTCAAGGTCATTGCAGGTCAAATATTGTATGGCATTTTAATAATTACCTAACTGCCATGTTTTACATCTGAATCGTACCGTACTGAAGCTCTTGAAATTCATTTTTTACTACAAACTACAGTACTTAATTCAGGGTAATTTTGGCAGCCATCTTTAATTTCAAAATGGCTGCCGTGCAAAAACTATATTTATAATTATAGTATCTTTTAAAATCACTTCAAATTAGAATTCTGATGTTTAACACTATGTTATTGTGGTCATGAAAATATACATATGACCATCTATATATAAATATATAGATGGTCATTAGGATAATATATAGGTCAGTAAAGGTCATTCAAGGTCATTTTATGTTAAATACCATATGATATCTTAACTATTTCATCAGACGTCGTTATGACGTCCATTTTAGGTGAAGGTGATTTTGCAGCCAAATTAAAGATGACCACCATAGAAACATGTATGTCTGTCTCTTATACACATCTAGATGTGTATAAGAGACAGGCATAAGCCTATGCCAAAATGTAAGAAGAAAGTTGAAAAGGTACTGTCCAGGGAGCTCTCATCTGTTTAGGAGAAACATCCGACAGATGGATGGACGGACAGACCGACCGGACAGAAGGTGATGTACTGTACTGTATGATTGATTTTTTTTTTTAGATATCGAGGGGCGCTTATTCTCGTGAGTGCGAAACTGTCGTCGGGCACCACTTAAGGTCTTTCGTTCAGAATCTTTCGATTGGTGAATATATCGCTATTCGCGTACTCCCCAGATTAAATAGAAGTATTAATTATACAAAGTAAAGATTAGCAATGTATTTATTTCGTTGAGACTATAATTGAGGAATTTTGTAAGAGGTTGTTTCAAAATGATCATAATATACAATCATAATTTTGTATTCCTTAAAAATTGCTTTATATGACTGGTAAGAGTAAGTAGGTCAGAACTAGAAAAAAATACCTCTGCACTCGCAATTATTAAATAGATATATAAACGGTTTATTCAATTAATTAAATTCACATAAAAGTACATCTTTGCAGCAAATCTGAATTGCGATTAAGGATGTGATTAATGTGATCTAGAGGTGAGATGGAATGTAATGAGAAATAAATTGAGAATTTTGCTATTTGATTTATCTGCTCCAGCACAATTGCTATATCTTTTATACTAAAGCCTATCATTTTCAATTATTACCTCCTCGTTTCTGAATCTGCGGAATCTGTTGGTATTAGGAATCACAGGTCATAAACAGCGTTCCGCAAACTTTTTACTTCACGGCCTAGCAGCCCAGCCGCGCCAGGGGCCAATATACCAAATCCTGGCAAGAACTTTTGATCATGAAGCCTCCATGCATATACAATATTTTGACATCATTATTTGTTCTCTCAGTGATAAAATTTTATTGTATACAAATTAAATATTATTTTATTAAATAAATAATACCGTACATTGTGGTCAGGTTGCGAACGAAGCGCGTGCACTGATAATTAGGGCTAGGGGGCCGCCAAGGGCCTCAGGTCGGGTTTCGGGGCCATTAAACTTTAATATTATTGTAAACTATTAAACTGTAATAGTATTAACATTAAGCTATTAAACTGTAATATTATTAACTAACACCAATCAACACACATAACATAAAACATGTACATATCGAAATTATTATGTTTAATCTTTCCTCATCGGTACTTGAATAAAACGTGATTTGGATCTAAACATGATGATATTGATAAACAATCGAATTCTCTGTACAGTATTATGCTAAACATTTACAGAGTGGACTTCCTTATGTTGTGGTCATATTAGACTGTAATATTATTATTAAAGAAGTCTATTCAACAAACAACATAAAACATATAGGCCTAAATATCAAAGTTATTAGGTTAAAGTTCTCATGTCGGTGCATGCATAAAATGTAATTTCCTAAAATTTGGATATCTGGGATTGACAGACAAAATTCTCTATAATATAGGCCTATATACTAATTTAACGAGTGGACATTTGACCATGAAAACATATTTTGGACATTAGAATTATAATTTCAACTGGTTTAGAAGCGGAGATATAGATAAATATATTTTTTACATGGTGGCCATTTTAAATCCAAGATGGCGGCCACTTTTATAAAACATTAGCATTATTTTAAAAAGTAATAGCATTATTTTATAAAGTAATACATGCATTGGTTGCTAAGTATTAAAAACCTTCGTGGCGATCTAAGAAGTTGCAAATTTATTCATAAATATGACATATTACGTTTTTTCTCATATTTTTATCTATTTTGTCGGCTATTTTGCATAAACGCATTTCCGCATATTTCCCTACCTGGATTTTTCTAGACTTTTAATATGTTTAAATAGGGACCTTATAGAAATGCACTGTAGTAAAATAAATTTTGTTGCAATTTTTTCAACCTTTCACTAAATTGTACGCTAATTTTCTTGTACTACAAATCGAAAGCTGCCACAGTCTGAAGAAAACTTTAATATTAACCCCAAACACGAAAAATTATTAGATTCATGAACTTTTAAAATAGATTGCTGCAAATCGAGACAAATGGAGAAAAATAAAAATATGGAACATTGAATTAGTTAACACTGACAACTGACAACTACTAAAAGTTGTCAGTGTTAATTAAATAAATATTCCATTAGGTAATTAGTTAACACTGTCAACTTACAACTACTAATAGTTGTCAGTGTTAACTAAATAAATATTCCATTAGGTAATTAGTTAACACTGTCAACTTACAACTACTAAAAGTTGTCAGTGTTAACTAAATAAATATTCCATTAGGTAATTAGTTAACACTGTCAACTTACAATTACTAAAAGTTGTCAGTGTTAACTAAATAAATATTCCATTAGGTAATTAGTTAACACTGTCAACTTACAACTACTAATAGTTGTCAATGTTAACTAAATAAATATTCCATTAGGTAATTAGTTAACACTGTCAACTTACAACTACTAATAGTTGTCAGTGTTAACTAAATAAATATTCCATTAGGTAATTAGTTAACACTGTCAACTTTTAGTAAAAAGTTTTATTGCTTTTTGTCATCATTGTTGTAATGACTACAACAAAAAGAAAATTTATCTTTATTTTTAAAACAGTTAAATATTAATAATTATTTAGGTATATGTTAAAAAATGGAGATTGGTAAGTTTACCTTCAATTTTATATAATTATAGATAATTCAATACCTTCAATTTGATACAAATAATAGATAATTTGATAATAATAATAAATAAATAGAAAGGTACGTTTTTATTGTTTGTTTATTACTAGTCTTGTTGCTTCTTTCTGGGAGTTTTATCTATTTTTTCATATTTTTAAGGGAGAAGTTGGGGTTAAAAGATAGTTTTTCTTACCTAAAGCGCGTTAGAGAATTTTTGCATTATGGGCTATAAAGAACCAAACCTATATA